TTCATGAAACTTCCCTTAAATTATCGACACGAATTTAAAACTTTCTCAATAGTCTAGACTCTCCTGGTGTTATTAAAACTGGCAAAACGATTATTAATTTCTTTAAAGTTCTCTAGACTGCCCTGAAATATCAATATTTAATTGATTTGCCTTGAAGTTTCGACAATTTTCCTTAAGTATTAAAACCATTATAAACGCTCACCAATTTTCCCTGAACTAATAGTTATATGCTTACCTGAAGTTCTCTTAATTCGTTTAATAATCCGGAGAATTTTCTGATATATATTCATAATTCCCTAACGCTCTTGACGTTTTCGGATCAATCACAGAATTCTCGGAATAACCCATAATTCCACGGAACTCCTTTTAAGTCGCTGCAAATTTGCAAGTTAATGAGATTATTATGAAGTTATGTGATCGTCCTTGAAGTACTCGGAATTTCGGAGAATATAATGAAGCTATCTAAAAATATCTAAACTTATTAGAAGTTTTCTGAAATTTCTTGAAGATATCGCTGCTTGCTAAAAGCTCTAGTATTTTTTTTTATTAATGGAAATTCGTTCATGTTATCTAATCAACTTAGTTGAATTTTCGCATTTTTTATGTTCTTGAAATCTCAGTGATAACACCCTTAACAAACTCTCACGTTTTTCGGATGTAAATTCTCCCAGAGCTTTGCTGAAGTTTCCGGAAATTCCCTAAATTTCTCAAAACTTCTTTAAGGTTTCTACAATTTGCTTGAAATTATTTGAACTGCCCTTTGATTCACTGATCTGTCTTGATGTTATCAAAGCTTCCCTAAAGCTTTAAATTTTATTGAAGATCTCGGTTCTGCTTGGCAATCAATGGACCCCGTGAACACCTTTAAATATTCCTGAAATTCTCTGGACTTCTGTGAAGTTCCTGAAATATTTCTGAAGTTTTCATAAATTTTCTGAAGGCCTCTGTACTTCCCTGTAATTCTCGGAACTTCTTAAGAATTCTCGATTCTTTTCAGCACATAATGGACTATCCTGATTTTTTTTCTAAATGTACGATTATAGATCTTTAAGCAGCTGCTAAAGCCTGGACTAAAGTTACGGGAACTGGCCTTAAGATCTGGAATTCCCCCAAAGATCTCTAGATCTAGCTTTTCTGAGGTGCGTAGAACTTCTTAAAAATTTGCACAATATCCCTCAAGTTTCCTCTATTCCTCAAGTTCGCTTGACACTTGTGAATTTCTCTAAAATCCTAGGAATTACATAAAAGTTACTGCAAATTTTCGGATGCTAAAACAATCGCTTTTAGGTTCTTAAAGCTTCCAATAAGTTTCCCATAGTTTTCAGAGTGTTAAATTTCCTTATGTTCCCGCAGTTTGTTTATGGAGCTTCACTGAAATTCTCAGCATTTTCTTTCATTCCTCAGAACTTCTCCAAAGTTTCTACAATTGTTGTGAAGTTAATGGAACTGCAATGAAGATCTCTTGTCTATTATAAAGTTTTCCGTAATTCTGGCACTTTGAAAATTTTCAATATTTTGAACTTGTGCATGGAATATGAAAGTAAATGGCATTGCATATTTTAAGATCTAGGACTTACTAAAATTAAGTAAGTTTTTTAACTCTATATTAAACTTCAACATTCAATGGATTTGATTGTAAAGCTGTTTCTTTAAAACTGATTGTCATGTCTTAAAAAAGGTTGGGTTAGTTGCTGTTGTTTTTGATCTACAAAAGAAATCATATTTGTAACGCATTTAAAAAAATAGCTTTCTTCCCAACAAACAATTCAGAGTCACGAATAAGCATTTATATTAGAGTGATGCAAAATTTGAAATTTTCGCTCCACAATACTTAAACGATTCCAAATCGGATCCTGACTAACCTCTCAAAATTTGAACCCATTTGGTGAGAAACTGAGATGGCACAAACCATTTGAAGTTTGTATTGTAATTACTATGGTAAAACCAAGATTTTGTTCACATCTATTTAATAATTCACCATATCGATCTGCTTCAAAAGCTTTCAACTATTATGGTAGGAAATTTTCCCAGCTACAATTTTGCTCCAGGCCACTTTTTGATTAAATGCAAGGATCGAAAGTTATCAATTGTTCAATGCGGTGATGTCTTATGATCATGCTCAATCAACTGCTCAGAAGGCAACATTGGTGTTTCTGGGGCGTTGAATAGGACACAAAAATCATGGCTACTATGTCACACTGCAAAATACAGTGTTGCCTACTGAGCAGCTGCTTGATCATGTCATAAGTTTACCAATCTCTTAAATAATTATTAACTTTTTCCTGTCTCGTTTTACATAGTTGTATCTGAAAAAATTTTCTATAAGAATAGCTATCGAACTATTTCGCATCTCAATATGGAAAAAGACTAGAAAGCAATGAACAAAAAGTTGAGATTTCCCATAGTAATTTACATGTAAACTTCAAATGGCTTGTGCGAAGTCTGTTTCTAACCCAATGAGTTGTAACTTTGGGAGGCTAATCAGGACCCGATTTGAAACCATTTAAGCACTGTGGAGCAAAAAAGCAGTCTAATATATATTGAATCAATGCGTTATAAAAGTGTACAATGCTGAATGAAATGGGTCGTCAAAACATGTTCTGGAAAAACCTATTTGAGATCAATAGATGTGCTTTTATTTCGCTGTTTGCTCTGATTTGATTAATATACTTATTAAAAGCTATACAAACGATGACTGTTTTCCTGACTCAACACCCAACACACCAACACACAACAATCACTAACAAGAACAACCCTGCTCTGTGCCGTTCTTATTTTCGGATTAATTATGCCGTAGTTGAATAATTGTTTAATAAATGTATAATAGTGTCTAATTAAACATTATTTCACATGAGTATCAACCGTCTATATACACCTTTATACGATCGCTGTTTAAGGAAGTAATGATGTCTAAAAACGCTGAATAATCAAAAAATTGATCGAATTAGCTATGTTTGCAACTCTTGTTAGTCGAATAAAAGCTTCTCGACATACCTTATTCAACACCAAATATTTCGATGTTGTGGTTGAATAAATTCTCCAGATTTGTGTGAACAAAGCCTAAACAGAAGTTATTATTAAAAATAGTACAAGTATTATCAAGCATGCAGCTGAATAAAATCGTCAAGAAGTCTTTTCTTCAATAAGCAATTTGTTTGTAGGGTTATTATAAGCCTGGAATTTATCCGTTAAAATTCTGGAAAAACCTGGAAGAGATTGAGAAAGACGATTAAACGTCACAAATATCTTTCGAATTGTTCAAAAATAAGAACAAAATGTAGGTATCGATTGGACTATCAGATCCTCCTACACAGTTCAAGAAGAATGATCAATCACGCTCAAAAAGTTGAAAATAGTGACTGATTACAAGAAAAAGTGACTTTAGGACTTTGCCTTAAAAATGGAGACTTTTTAGTGACTGGCTTGAAAAAAGTGACCAAGTCACTAAAAAGAGACTCGCTATCAACCCTGCTATTGTATGAAAAATATCGACGACATGTTTTTTGTTCAAGATCCCCGATGAAACATTTTTGTGTAGAAGTATCAGAATACAGGAAAAAGTGTTTTCTTTTAAATCGTGGAAATTTCGGAAATCCAATTTTATCTTTTTAATTCCATTGTAATGCAGCCCAGATTTGGGCTGAAAAAAAATCAATTATCTTCATTACAATTGAATTCCCTATAGTATTAAATTCATTTACAATTTTTGTTTAATATTTTGATTTAGCCTGGAAGACCTATTGACTTCCCACAAAAGTTCCGTCCGACTTCTTTTGAAGTCAACTTGTTCCAGATGTTAAATCCGACTACTCCAGGGAATGTCATTCGACATCTCCAAAAATTTTACTCTAAATTTCCCTGATTTCTTCGGACTTTCTTCGGGAGTTTCTTCTAAGTAACTCCGGATGTTTCTTCTGATTTCGTTTGAGAGATTCTTCAGACATCCCTCAGAAGTTTTTGTTTTAACAATCTGCACATTTTAACCATCTTCCAACTTATCCTAATAGTTAATTTATATATTCCCCACTCTGCATATTTATTTCTGGTTTTATTGGAATGATTTCCTCATTTTTATTTCAGCTTTCCACGTAAGCTTGTTCCAGTTTTATTATGATGTTTTTTATTACTTCCATCGGATGAGTACTGCAAATTCTTCTGGAAATTAATTCCGAGTGTTTAGGCTTGATCTGGAAGTTTCATCTGACTGACAATGATCAAATCTAACGATTTATCTTGAAAGCTACTTTTAAGTTCCCCCAGAGGTTCTGATGACATACCCCGCAAATGTCTGCCGACTTCTTCTGGAAGTTCCTGTAAACTTATTATGAATGTTTCTTCCGGCTTACCCGTAGTTTTCTTCCGTCTTAGATGTCAGGAGTCTGTCAGCTTCCTCTGGGAGTTTCTTCTATCTTTCTCTGACAGTTTTTCCTGCCTGCCTCTGGAAACCTCTCCAAAACGTTTGCATCAGCATCCAATCGAAATTTCTTTTAATTTATTGATAGAACTGGTACTGCAATAAAAAATAGCTTCTTTTTTTTTTAATTCCATAATTTTTACAAACAGGGAATTAAATTTAAGTTTATCTAGCTTCTAAGTGAAAATGTACCTGTGTTAATATATATATTCGAAAAAATGGGATGTTTTTCTTCAGTCGAGTATTAGTATAAGACACTGAAGAAGTCTGCACATGGATGCGGAATAAAATGGAAATTATTATTCCTTCTCTCTCTCTCTCTCTCTCTCATTACAGATGCTGTAATGTTGTGGCTAGAAGGGTTTTGATATTTTTACGAGCTATATTTTGTTTCCCTGAATGCATTGCTTCTAGAAAATCATTTTTTTTTCAATTCATAGGTTTTAAACAAAAATATACATTCTGGAAAAACTTGCTCAAAACTTCCATTTGTTGTATGAGGATGTAATAAATCCAACCTCAAACCTCACACTGGCTGAATGAGGAGCTTTTGTTTTGCGTTTATTCTAAATTCTTCGTCATTTAATTTAACGATTTATTTTACTATCGTTTCCATGGTATGTACAACATATGAATATCCATTACATTAGTCCCTGTATGCCCAGTCACAATGTGATACCCACCATCATCCACCAGTCGGTAGAAACTATGCGAATCGTTATTCTCCAAAAACTCCTCGATTCGCTTCGGACTGCCCAACGAAAGAAACTTCTTCACAACATCGGCCCCTCCAATTGCTCCGGCAGCATCCGTTGGTCCATCGATTCCATCCGTGCCAGCCGAGAGTAGCATCACATCGCTCAATGACTCTCCACGTCGATGGCACTCCAAACTAAATCTCAATGCCAGCTCCTGATTCCGACCTCCGAGACCGTTTCCTTTCACAACCACTGTTGGCTCACCACCAGCCACAATCAGCAAGTCCTTGCCAGGATTAGCGGACAGGAACTCAACGATGTCATTAGCTTTTGAATTTAGATTGAGAATTTTGCCTATCTGGGTGATGGTTTTCGTGAAATTGTGTGCCTCAATAGTTTTGCTCTGAAATTTTCTGATAGCAGTTGCCAATTCAACATACGCTTGACTCAGATATATTACATTTCCTTGAACACCCGAAGTTAGTGGCAGTGCAAGGATTTCAGTTTTTGGAATATTATTGATGATACAGTCGATTGCAAGTTCATTCGAACCGATAAGATGAATATCACCAGGAGTTTTAAGCGGTTCTGAATCTGGAAGGGTTAGCATTTTGGCAACCGACTGAGGAACCTTATCGTCCAAGTGATACTTTTCTAGAATACTCCATGCATCTCGGTTGTTAACACTACTTCCGATAGTCGGACCACTCGCAATTAATGGAATGGGATCGCCAACTATATCCGAAATTATGAAACACAGCAATTTGTGCGAGTTATTTGCTGCTGCAGCCAACTTTCCTCCTTTAACATCTGATAATTGGATCCTAACAACGTTCAGTTCGTCAATCGCTGCACCAGTCGAAGCGAGCAGTTTTATCACAGCTAATTTTTCTTCTAGCGAAATTGGAGCCTTTGGCAGTGGAAGCAACGCAGATCCTCCGCCGGACACCAACACACATAAAACATCGTCCGAAGTCATTCTTTCTGCGAGTGATTTGATGGTTTGAGCTGCACTCACTGCCTTATCGTCGGGAAGATTATTCCGAGCACATTCGATGATGTTTATTTTCGTGGTGCTATTCAGTTGGAAATCGGCATCATTTTTAAATCGTTGCAGAGTACCAACTGGAATGCTAATGCAACCGCTAACCAACCTATCGCCGAGCATCCGTTCCATCTGAACTGCCATACCGAGGACCGCTTTACCGAAACCCACAACGTGGTAGCGTTTATTCGCAATCTGGAGCTGTTTGGTGATGTATTCATTATGCAGGAATGATTCAAATAGAGCCTTTGGTTTGACTGAATCAACGGCCTTCAAGAAGAGACACTTGAGCGTATCAATCCGAGGATTCATACTGCTGGTAACGTGCTGCTGTAGTCGATATCCAACTGATTTGCGGTTTGAATATTTTCGAAGCAACGATAACATGTAAAGGTTTACGGGAATCTCCTCTTGAGTTTCAATGTGGTCTAAAATGGATATTTGTTTAAAGAGTTCCTATTGCGTACATATACTTCAATACTTACAGAGCAAATAGAAATGAGATAATTCAAACTAATTAAAACTTATTTTAAAGAAACACCTTGCACAAACAATTACTTCTTGAGTTCATATAATCAGTGATAAGATTTTCTAAGCAAACCTTTGACAAGCAACAAGCTATATACTGAAGGTAATTGGTGCCCATGCAGCAAAAAGATTCCACAATTTGCCTTAACTGCATACGAAGCAAAGCGAAAGGCACTGAGCAAGCTTAAATGAGGTTGGCTTTTGTTCGAGCTTTGGTTAACACCATCTAGTGTTGATTCTAGCTCGGAGTTTGATTCCTTCGTTTAGCAGTGTAGTTCCAATAAGATTGTCCAAAGCTGTCGTTCGATCGTTCAATGTTAAGTATCTTGTATATGAGGTATACCGGGGTAGGTGAGACCTAAGAGTTTGATTGTGTGATCCACAATAATAAATATTTTCAGATTTCAAAATCTCAGTGATTATCTGTCGGCATCAATGCGGAAGTGTACGTACATTAAAAAAAACAAATAGGGGAAAAGTTGGCTTTGGCAATACCTTAACCTATTATCGTCAGGGGGGTAAACAAAGTCCTAGAGCACTCAACTTTGACCAATAGTTGCTTTGCAACACAATGTATCCACATGCCAACATTGAGCTCTCAAGGACGTTGTTTATCCCCCCTGACGATAATAGGTTAAGGTATTGTCGAAGCCAACTTTTCCCCTATTCATCTTATTAAAAATTTGAAAATGGTATTCATAAAAGGCAGAGGGCTCACTTTCCACGTTCACCGGTGCAAGCGGGACCTGTTTTGAATTTTTAATACAACTATGGATAAATAGAAATTTATACTGGTGGATCAACAGTATACCTTATATATCATTTGTATATGTGTTTAAAGTGCACATTTTTTTGGAATATATCATTGAAAAATACCGTAACGCATCACAAAAACAACACTTTGCACACTGAGAATTCCATAAGAATTATAATTATACTTCCATAAGAATTATACTTATGAATTTTAGTCACAAGAAATCGGTATGAATTTCATTGATTTGCCTTATTAAAAATTAAGTTTGACATAAAAATAATAAAACTGAGCAGACTGGAGCAAAAGCATGGACGTTAAGATTACAGGACCTGCGTGTTGACCACTCGTCTTTCAACACTTGGTATAATGAAATTGTTATAGGCGTATAAGGGTCCACTACACGATTGATTTTATTGATAATATGTAATCGTTTTGTCACACCCTTGCGTCCTACCAAGAAGTACGGTCGACTTGTTTCGCGCTCCGTTATTTTGGAAGTTTTCTCGCTATTCTCTGACGTAAATCATTAGTTTTTTTTCTCGCTAGGTGATTCCTGGCATAATTGCCGGTAAATTTATCAAAAAGTTAGTTTTTTTTTTATAAGAAAATGTGTTTTCGGCATCATCGAAAATTGTTTTTGCATTTGGCAATTCGCCAATCATTTTGCGCACCATCGCACGCATACCTGCACACGGATCATCGTCATCGAGTGTCAGCATCTGCCTCAACATTTAAACCGTTCATTCATCATCGTGTGTTCAGCTGAATGCCGAGCCTCATACAAGCACACACCAACGAAGACCGCCCGCACACGCGGATCGAAGATCATCCAAGCTGCGCGTCGCTCCGCTGCTGCTGTGTAAACGCTCGGTGTAGTAGTATAGGATTATCAGATGTTCTTGTTTCTTTCTTTCGCCCATGAGTTAAATTTAAAGTTTGTGTTTCTGTGTTTGTATTTTTTTTTCGTGTATTGTGTCCGAGTAATTTTAATTATCGTTGCAGTGGTTGAGCATTTTTCGCTCCCACTAGCACGGCAAAATGGACATTTTGTCGGAAGACGAAATGGACGTTTTGACGAAAGATGGCACCACTTTACCACGCGATAGCAAGAAGTCAGATGATGCCATCCCTGGTTCGTCATCTCAGTCTGGTAATGGACAGGGACAGATAAGCCCCCGATCGCGAGCCTACCCAGAAAAACTCGACTGGCCCATGGGTTGTTTACTTTCAGCCCAAAAAGAAACCTTTGAATGTAATTCAGACGAGATTACTCCACAACCAAATAAGCTATTCGTGGTCTTAGAACGTCAATTTGAAGGTTTTTTTTTTAATGTAGATTATTATAAATGTACAGACATTTTGTTTTTGTTATAGTAACTACAGTAAACAGGCTGATTACCTGCAGGTATTAAAATTGTCAAAAAATTGCCTATTTTCACCGTGAACGGGATTTTTTATTACTTAATATTTTGGAATAATCAGTTTCGGCTTGGCAGTCTGGCAATCATTCAGTCGAAACAGGTTGGTTTTGTGAGTTGTCCCTGCGTTTCGGCTCTGATTGGGGCCTTCTTCAGGGGGGGGGGTTGTTGAATTTGTTCTTTGTCTAAATACCGTTAGACTTCAAACAGTATTTAGACGGGGAACAGATCCAACAGTTTTTCCCCTGAAGAGGGCCCTGATCGGAGCCGAAACGAGGGGACAAATTACAAAATTGGTTTGTTCTGATTGAGTGATTGCCGGACTGCCAAGCCGAAACTGATTATTGTAAAACCTCACAGTCGAACACTCCAACACAATATTAATATTTTGGGCTCAAATTTTCACCACATTTTGAAAAACTCTTATACTTGATGTGTTTCCAGGGGCAAATAATTTGGACAAATAGTTTTTGAGATATGACCAGATGAGTGAGTGGTAGTTTTGAGTTTTTCTGGTGGAAAATCAATACTATTTAATGTATTTATTTTTTATTTCTTCTTGAATTCCTTCACACCGATGACACAATAATATTTGTATGTTATTTTTCACATGTTCTGGGCAGGATTCTCATAGCATGAAATCATAACCTTTGAATTGACGTTCTAAGATGGCGAATGGCTTTTTTGGTTGTGAAGTACTCTCTTCTGAAAGATTAAATTTTTGAAAGTCTCGAGAATCCAGGGTTGTAGCTCGGACGGATCTAGGCACTTCAGAGTAGAATCGGGGAAGACGCTTGTTCATGATGCCAAGGTGGGCGTTTTGGCCGGGTTTGGCTCGAATCGGTGACATCGACCACAACTTTTTTAAATTCTGTACCCACTTGAGATGGAATGACCCATATACCAATTGAAATTGAAAGTAGGTGAAATTCGCTTGAAACTGTGTCATCCTTGTGATTCCAACGCCAGTCATTTACTTTTTTGGCAGCAGCCATTGGATAAACAGTGGTGCCAAATAGCGTTTTTGTCGTGAATCATAAATGATAAATGTTTCGAGATCTGGCCTCACTGGCCCTGCGTTCGGTCGTTGTTTTTTGTAGGACTGATATTAAGAAACTATTTCGTGAGTTTAAGCCGGTGTTAAATATTTTAATTTCATGGAAGTGTTAGCATTAAGTGAAATACAGTACAGGTCAACGAGTTTTAGTGAAAACGGTGTCTAAATATGGACAGGAGTCCTAATTTATGTTGCTCTGGAAAGGGAAAGTTTGAGTCAGCCATATTTTTTTTTGTCTATACTTCGGATACGTGGATCGCAGTATAATAACGGGTGTGAGTGTGTGTATTGACAGCAAAATATCTCCTGATGCCACTTCTACCGTGAGACGAAGCTTATGCTCTGGCTGTGAGGAATGTTGTCTGCCCGGAGTATTTGGACTAAATACATAATCGCAAAGGAATCAGCTAAGTATCATGTTTCAAACTAAAATATTGTCAAAAATTCTCGAGTAGCTAATACTGTGATATTGTGAATTAGGCAGATACAAAATTCGTTATGAGTGTGTGATGTTTTGTTTTGTTGGTGTGCTTGATTTTTACTATCCTTTCTCCCAACTGGAAATTCTTATTAGAAACGGTCGATCTTTGCTGGAGTGGGAAAGTGTGAGCGCCGAAATTGTGTTTCGTGGTAGTGGTAGAAGAGCTCATCTAACTGCACTGTGCGCTGTCCTGGTCGGGCGTGTTTTGCGATGGTGTGAGAGAGTAAACTTGCTCTAGTTGCTTCTTTCATACCGACGTGAGTGCCGGCCGGCGCACAGTGTAGGAATGCTTTTCCCCTCAAGGGAGAACCGTTACGGGTTAAAGTGAAGAGCTGTGACATCTTTATTCTCGGAACCACTTCGAAACTTTACGTGAATTTTATTCTATGACTAAGAGTGTGAATGAACCCAAAATGCATGAGTGAATGTGAATGGGGCATACGTGATACCAGTATGTATTGTATAATGGTATTTTTACAGTTTGTACCGTTCTGATTCATATTACGAACACGCTCAAATTCTGAGCACTTGTGTTTTTGTATGGGACGGATTTTGAAAAATTTTCTTTTAGGATGTCCATATTACGATAAGTCGTGAGTTTAAATACATTCTGAGCGGATCAGCAATATTTTAGGTAAAAAAGGTGTTTTTCAAAGGATGATTTTAACGCACTGTTCGGAATTTGAATCAATACGGTAAATCGCGCGATGATCGAGACGTTTCCGTCGGATAAGATTATTTTGCGGCCGAGTGTCTAGGAAGCTATGGAAACCGAAATGGCTCTTGATTTTGTTTTATGCCCTTATAGTATAAACCACCATCGCACTTCGTGAGTTGCCCCAATAGAACCCTTGCTTTTGGTTTGAATCAGTACAAATTCGTTCTATTATATTTAAAAAAAAGAAGTATACATATTCATTTTCTTCCGAACTAAATAAACCACCATCACACTTTGTGAGTGGCCCCAACAGTATCCTTGCCGTTGGTCTAAATCGGGTCAAATCGGTTCTAATAATTATTTTATATTCAATCAAGTAAACCACCATCACACTTTGTGAGTGGCCCCAACAGCATCCTTGCTGTTGGTTTAAATCGGTTCAAACCGCTTATAATTAATTATTTTGGTCATTGATAAAATAAAATAAACCATCATCACACTTTGTGAGGGGCCCCAACAGTATCCTTATTGTTGGTTTAAATCGGTATACACACATCTAATAATGATCTACATCTCTAGACAGCCGGCTGTTTAGAGCATAAATCGAAAACACTTATAAATAACTACACAAAACAAAAGATCGCATCACTTATCAAG